TGGTTGGAATTTAAACAACTTTATACAGTGGTCAAGCACAATAAGAGGAAGAACCATAACTCTATCTTGACTAATTACAAAGTTATTGCCCTTTGTTACTTTTACTTGTCTGGAGCATAACTTGTAAACTACTAGTTGGAATTCAATACAACTTCATTCAATCGTCAAGCACATTAAGAGGAAGTGCAGTGCACAAAAACACCATTTGACAAATAACAGAGTTATTGCCCTTTGATACTTTTCCTTGTCAGGTGCATAACTTAAAAAAGGTTCAAATTATTATTTTTTACTCAAACTTCTTCATTTCTTAGAACTCCCACATCATAATAATATGACAAGGGTTATCGATCTAACTGTTCATATTTCTAGAATTATCTCCTCCTTAAACTTTGAATTTTTCTTTAACTTTCTAATTTCTTAATGGATCTACTTCAAATTTAAATATACATTCATCATCAATACCTAAATCATATATGATTAAATATATAAGTCATGTGTTGCCATCATTATTTTCATTATGAACTTGAAATTTATTTGAAAGTTGTTTTTTTTTGGTGTTTTTTGGTTTTTTTTCTAATTTTCTTCTCTGTTACAATAAATGGTATATTTGAAAATTGTTATTTTTTCACTTTTCCTCTTTGTAACTATAAATGGTATCTTCTTTAAACTTATGATAATTGTTCTTTGTTACTTTAACATCATGTATGACAAAGTTTATAACTCTAGCATTCTTTATTTCAAGAGTTATCTCCTCTTTAGTTTAAGAATTTGCTTTTAAAAATGTTATATTCTGGTAACTTTGTCTGTACATTCCTGAAAACTGCTTCCTGAGATCTGTGACTTCTAAAGAACTTTGAACTTTTTAAACAAATTTTATTATTTACTTAAAATAGAGAAAAGTTCAAACATCAGATATATGTAGCCGAGGGTCGCCGGCAGGGCATTTGCTTTGGGGTCGTTTGGGGAATTGGACTCGCTGGCGTAGTGAGCGCCCTACGCGGAAACCCTCGGTTTGTTGGTGTGGGATACTGGAGTATATCAGTGACTTCCAGTATCCTCTTTGTAAATGATTGTATTTTATAACACGAAAGTCCAGTGTTGATGTTATTTCATTTATTTCTTTATAGTGATTTAAAGTTCTCAAATATAAAATAAAAATATAGTTCACACATATATATTTTCACAGCTAGCACCTGAATTTTCTTAAGTTAAGTTTTCTTATTTATTTTCTAAATTAAGACTAAATGTTATATGTTCGAAATTGCATACGGAAAAGTTCGGAAATGCTATAATTAGAAACAAGTTCGGAAATGCTATAAGTAGAAACGTCAACAAACTTGCGACCGTTCAATAGTCATTCGATTTTATGAGATGTAATATAAATGACGGATGCAATTTTATGTCTTGTAATTAATAAACGATAAGAAAAGCTATTTATTAGCTAAGGAATGTAGCTCATATCCTCCCATTTTGACAAGTAACATGTTACGAAACAATCGGGAAAAGAACAAAGTCTGAGGCTCCCACTAGATTTACTGCACTGTATTGTAAACAAGAAGATAACAAATAGACTGAAAATATGGCAAATTTTACAATAATTATAAACTGGATCTAGTGATAATGCAAAAAGTACTGAAAATATTTTCATGAAACTTGAAATATGGGTAGATGGCAGTATGGAGACTATGCATGTCTTTTTCTTTTCACCTGTTTTGAAAAAAATAGGTTGCCATGGCAACAAATAGGCTTAAAACATGGCAAATATAACAATATTTGTGTCACTATTGAAGGTCAAATATCAAACAATCAAATATTAGACAGTATGTAGTGTCCGCTCTGTAACTCATACACTTATTGAAAGATTTTCTTCAAACTTCGCTCAAATGTTCACCTCAACAAGGGGATGTGCAGAACCCTTGTTGCCCATGTGTCAGCTCAAGGTCAAGGTCACAATTGAAGGTCAAATATCAAACAATGAAATATTAGACAGTATGTCTGTCCGCTCTGTAACTCCTACACTAATTGAAAGATTTTCTTCAAACTTGGCTCAAATGTTCACCTCAACAAGGGGATGTGCAGAACCTATGTTGCCCATGTGTCAGCTCAAGGTCAAGGTCACAATTGAAGGTCAAATATCAAACAATGAAATATTAGACAGTATTTTGTGTCCGCTCTGTAAGTCCTACACTAATTGAAAGATTTTCTTCAATCTTGGCTCAAATGTTCACCTAAACAAGGTTATGTGCAGAACCCATGTTACCCTTTTGCCGGCTTAAGGTCAAGGTCACACTTGAAGGTCAAATATTGACTTAGAAAATGTTCTTAAATTTTAACATGTATTTGAATATTTCTGAAACAAGAAATATATTTTATTATCATAAAATGATTTATTGCCGAGGTGGTTCATATAAATTTTGGCGGAAGCACCTTGCTCTTTGTGTTATAGTAATTATGGTTTAGGGTATTTACAGTGCAGCCGTACTCTTTATTGTATAGTATTTACAGCTTAGAATATTTACAGTAAGCTAACAGCGTAACGCATGTCTATATTTGGATATAGTTGCACATGCGCACTCACTCTTTTTGTTGAACAAAGAAACAAAGTGGCTTTCATTCCTGTACAACTTTTGATAGTTTCACATGAAAAATTTAGTTTTCCACCACCTCCCTTTCCTCCTCCACAATTATTTTCTTTGAAGAGCTCCTAAGTTTTTGTCTCCTTTGTTACAATTTTTTCATTTTTACGTTTTAAAATTGTACCAGTTACTGTTCTTTTACAACGAGATACACATAAAGACACATTTATACACATTTGTATGTATTCAGATGTTTTCATATTTCAGGATGGAATTTGTTCATATTTCTGTTTGTTAATTTATCTCTATTATGATAATTATGTTTTAATGTTTGTTGTATGGCGGAATTTGTTTCCCCAGATAAAACAATAAGTTCTACTTTTAATATGTCTCTGTTATTTTTGTTTCCCAAGATAAAACAATAAGTTCTACTTTTAATAATTGTCTCTGTTATTCTAGTCATGTTTAAATGTACTGTAGTATACTTTGTTTACGGCTTTAATAAAAGCCCTTTTACAACACAAATTTATCTTGAGTTGTTTATTGTTTTACAAGCTACGCAAACTCCCGAATCTATGTAACCGAACCACCTGCCACCCATAAAAAGTATTTGCTTGAAACTTAAAAGATATATGAGGTGTCACAAATAAGATATGCAGGTCAAGTTTCATAACTCTGTATTGCAATTTGACAAAGTTATGCCCCTTTTTAAGTCTTTAAATTTACATACAATCAATACTAGACAATATGTTATGTCCACTCTATAAATTCTATACTAATGGAGGAATTTTCTTCAAACTTTACTCAAATGTTCACCCCAACTGGGCAATGTGCAGAACCCATCTTACCCTTGTTCCAGCTTAAGGTCAAGGCCACACTTGAAGGTCAAAAATTGACTTAGAAAATGTGTAGTACATTGGGAAAATAAAAGGTTATTTGTAACTGTTTCGAACATGATTTGACAATATATATTTATACTAATACCTGTACAATTAGTCTTTTTTATGCCCCCACATAGTGGGAGCATATAGCGTTGCACTTGTCCGTCCGTCTGTACGTCTGTCCGTCCGTCCGTCCGTCCGTCTGTCCGTACGTCCCGAAATCTTGTGAACGCAACTCCTCTTAAACCGGATGGCAGATTTTGCTTAAACTTCCAGGAATGAACAACCTTTATGTGTTGATGGTAGTAAAGGAAGGAATTTTCGCTGTGACAAAATTTAACAGAATTATGGCCCTTTGTTGATTTTTTCACTATATACTATGTAGAAATTTTGTGAACGCAACTCCTCTTAAACCGGATGGCAGATTTTGCTTAAACTTCCAGGGATGAACAACCTTAATGTGTAGATGGTAGTAAAGGAAGGAATTTTTGCTGCGACCAAATTTAAGAGAGAATTATGGCCCTTTATTGATTTTTTCACTATATACCATATAGAAATTTTGTGAACGCAACTCCTCTTAAACCGGATGGCAAATGTTGCTTAAACTTCCAGGGATGAACAACCTTTATGTGTAGATGGTAGTAAAGGAAGGAATTTTTGCTGTGACCAAATTTAACAGAATTATGGCCCTTTGTTGATTTTTTCACTATATACCATATAGAAATTTTGTGAACGCAACTCCTCTTAAACCGGATGGCAGATTTTGCTTTAACTTCCAGGGATGAACAACCTTAATGTGTAGATGGTAGTAAAGGAAGGAATTTTTGCTGCGACCAAATTTAACAGAATTATGGCCCTTTGTTGATTTTTTCACTATATACCATATATATGTTGTCAGTGGGGGCATCCGTGTCCTTTGGACACAGTTCTAGTTTCACTAGAGATAATTTCCTTTTATGTATATGTATTTGTGCCACTAAAGTAACCACCTCTTAACCACCTTTCCAAGTCGTCTTCTGTCAAGGACATTGGTGGGGGTATGAATCACATTCAGCGATAGTTCTAGTTATGAACAGCTTCATTACTGATTGTTTTCTGTTACATTCACATCATGTATGACATCTTGGAACTTTAAGTTTATTTCATGAGTTAGTCCAAGAATTTTGCTTTTAAAAATGTTATATTTTGGTAAACAGGGATGTTCAAAAAATAACTTTAAAGTGTCCTTCAATCTGTCTGTTCATAATAACTGTTTCCTGTGATCACTTTTAAAGAGTTTTTCCAACAAATTTTCTTAAAAAGGAGAAAAATTGAAACATAAGTGAATGGCCAAATGGCCCTTCAGAATGTTGATGGGGTTCTAACAGGTAGGGGACTTATGGATTGCTTGCAATAGTGAATACTTTGATAATTGCTTGTTTTAATAATGTTTTGTCTTCCTTTACTGCATCCAGTATTTAATAAGTTGAGTGTGGCTGTCTCCTCTGAGAGCTGTTGGTTAAATTTATAATTTATTTTTCGTATGCTTTTCGCATTATTTTTAGCGTATGTTTCATTCATAGCAGTTACAGCATGTCTTCCCACTGACGATTTTATGTTGTTTTGAATCATCGCCATTTATTTTCATTTTTCAATTTTCAGGTTCTATGGTATCTTCAATAAATCCTACCAGTGGAGGTTTAGCTGGAGAAACAAGGCTTACTATATATGGGTCAGGTAGGTTCAGCAATTTTTTTGAAGCATACAATAAAGTTCTGAGAAAGAATAAACAGATATATTATGTATGATTTTGATCACTGTAATTTTAGATAAATTAATTTGCTCTTGACATGTGATAAAATTTTCTAAACAAACGTAAGTTAATCACTGAGTGTTACTAAAGTCAGCACTATATTTATCATCATATGCTTTTATAGTCTGATTTTATTGACCTGTCAATTATGAATACATCATAGGACTCATTTAAATATTCGATCCCACTTCGGTTTGGTCCGTGTAGTTTACGAGAATTAATGTGGTGTATATTAGTCATGGATTGAAAGTCACGCCAGTTAATGTGAAGGTTTTAGTTAATTCACAATAGGACAGTCGGTAAAGAGAATGCCTGATAATTGAGAGGTCTGTGGTTCGATCCTTACTGTTGCCATTGTTTTAGTACTCTTTCTTTATTTTTGCAGTATATTTTAATGGAACAGATTTGTAGTGTGTTTGACGGCATTGAAAAGACATTTATTGATTTTAATCCCTTTTAATTTTATACATAACAAAATTAAGTTAAACCTAATAAAAAAACTAACAACATAAAATAATCATATATAGATTCAATATGTTGAAAGTATTAATAAGAAAAAAACATGGACCAACGAGGCCTTGAACTTAAAACATGTGTGGCACTTTGATTTACCCTATTGTCCTATAACGCTGAGTACACTTAGTTTAGAGATATAAATTGAATTAAATTCCATCGTACAGCGTACATCTCACGGAACTTACCGAACATCTACCGAAGATTAATATACTGTGCGCATCGACCGTGTTATCAGTATGTAATTGACAGGTTAATAAAACCAAACAATAACATGTTTAAGTTACATACGAAATGTAGTGAGCAATTTAATTCATAATTATGCAAGTATATAAAAGTAACATTAATATGAAACTTCATCTGTTTAAATAAGATTGTCAGGTCATTAAGTAGAGGTCTAGTTATCCCTGCTTGTGCCCCTAACTAGCATTTCATTTCTTTGATTATGTATTATATACAGAATCAATACATATTTCAATATAGATCATTAAACAGGTTAAACTATTATTTGCTTTTTGGTGGTTTATGGATATATATCAGTGAAATATAAAACTGAAACCATCGTAATGATGTGACGTCATAAATTATGCAGGTTGTATTATAATTTGGCATGCTTTTCAATTAGTATAAGGTCAAAATGTATTTTCTGTACACCCACTTTTTGGGGGGGGGGGGTCATTTAGATTTACCCTTGTCTCTCCGTCCTTCCATCTTTTCTCTTTTGTGTCTCACATAACTCAAAAAGTATTTGACCTAGAGTCATAAGATTGACAGAACAGTGGCATGGTGGGGGCACCTGTGTCCTATGGACACATTTCTAGTTGCCCTTGACTTAGTAAAATTTTGCAATTTTCAACTTGTGTCGCATGTAACTAAAAAAGGATTTGACCTAGAGTCATGAAACTTTACAGGAATGTTGATCAGCATGTGTAGTTGTGCATCTGGGTATTTTTGTCTGGATTCATTTAGTATTTTTAGAGTTATTGCCCTTGACTTAGAATTTTTTTGCAATTTTCAACTTGTGTCACTTTTAACTCAAAAAGGATTTGACATAGAGTCATGAAACTTTACAGGAATGTTGCTCAGCATATGTAGTTGTGCACCTTGGGTTTCGCTTGTGGATTTATCCAGTATTTGTAGAGTTGTTGCCCTTGACTTAGTAAAAACTTAACCGTTTAATTATGTTGTGTTGTGTGAGTTAGAATCAACCAACTTTACAGGAATTATGATCAACTTTACTAAATTACAGGAATAATGATCAACATCACCGTGAAGCTATGCACCTGGGACTTTGCATGTGGATTTTTTCAGTTTTGTTAGAGTTATTGCCCTTGACTTACAGTAGTATAAATTTGCAATTTTCAACTTGTTCATGCATAGCTCAAAAAATATTTGACTTGTAGGCCTGAAAGTTTACAAGAATGTTGATCAGCATGTGTACTTATGCACCTTGGGGTTTGCTTGTTGATTTATTTAGTATTTGTAAAGTTCTTGCCCTTTACTTAGTAAAAGATTTTTAGTTTTCAATTTTTGGCACATGTTGTCCAAAAAATATTTGACCTAGAGTCATAAGATTGACAGAACAGTGGCGTGTGGGGGCACCGTGTCCTATGGACACATGTCTAGTTAAATGTTTCTTTGCATATAAGAAAATTTGTTTAGTTTAGTGAAAGATCTTTTTCTTATTGTGAACACCAAAAGTTCATATTTCACTCATGATTGCCTCACTCGTGAAATCTACCTTTTCATGCTCACTCAGTGAAATATATTCTGATTTTACACTGAACTAAATAAATATCCTCTATAAAACTAATATAGCTTAATACTAAATAAAAACCTTTTTCTTAGTTTTAACTTTTCTATGAGCTCAACTATATGAAGTATTTGGAGAGCTATCAGACACACCCAGATGTCGACGTCTAGACTGTAGATATAAGTTTATGTGCAGTACAATATTTTCGCTCACCTGAGCACAAAGTGCTCAAATTGAGCTTTTGTGATCGCAACTTCTCCGGCGTAATTTAGGAAGTCCTTGGTTTGCCTTGTAAGTAAGTATATAGTTAAAACATTAAAAATCTTTTTCTATAGAATTATACTATAGAGGCTTTATATGAAAAATTGTCTTGAAGATCTCTTCTAAAAAAATTCAAATTATAGCTTTTGGGTCAAAATGAGCCCTGCTCCAGGGAAGCATAGGTTTTTTGTCCCCCGCCTTTTCGAAGAAAAAAGGGGGAAATAGTAATAGGCTCCATCCGTCTGTCCGTCCGTCCATCTGTCACACTTTCGTGTCCATACCATAACTTTGTCATTTATCAAAGGAATCTGAAATAACTTGGCACAAATGCTTGTTATAATAAGACGATGTGTCATGCGCAACAACCAGACCCCTACCTCCAAGGTCAAGGTTGCACTTGCTCATTCAAGGTCAACATTGTCTATTTGAGGGTATATGTTGTGTCCGGTCCATAACTTCCTTATAAGATTTGTGTCAGATTGTTTTTAATTTTTATATAGTAAGAATGGAAGATCTTTTAAGGCAGCATTAATTACAGGAAAGTGGGAATAAATTATTATGAACACGCCTTCATCCAATTAAAAAAGTCTATGCAAAAGAGCTAATCAAACACGATTGGCTATGGGCGTGTCTGACAAATGAGTATGTTAATTTGATTGGTCTTTGTTTGGTCTGCCCTAAAACTTTGTACATAACATTAATCAATACAATCATCTTGAGCGTGACGTAAGAACAGCTGCCCTGACAAATGATCAAAGGTACTGGTATGTCTATGTACAGTGTATTAGCACCTGTTGACACTTTGTTTTTCACATGGATATATTGAGAAGGGTAAATATTTTTAGCAAGTCTTAGTTCATATTCTCCAGCAACAAAGGGAAATGTGTTCTGCTAATTGCTATTAAACTATGATTTTCCAATTTTCCTTTATACCGACCGCTGATTTAAAAACTGAAAAATGAGCCCGCATCACCGCTTCAATAAGATCAATACTTTTTAGTAACTCGACCATAAGTCGAGTTGATTTTTATGGACAATTTTTGCAGCCGTTTTTGGTCGACTTATGGCCGCAAATCTATGGTAGTTATGTAAAGCCCTAATGAGCTCTGATTGGCTAAAATTCATTGACCAATCAGAACAGTTCTGCATTTTACTGGTTCCACACAAAGTTCTGGTTCCCAGTAGTATGCATAAATACAGGCACTTTACACAATTTTGTCATTCTGCTGCTATTTTTTGGAAAAGTAACAACTCTTAAAGCTCTCTAACCCAGCAAACAAAAGACGTACCAACGTTGTACTGACGTTAGACCCTGACGTTGGGTAAACATTGGCAGAAGGTTGGATTTGAAAGTTTTTTTAGACGTCAACCTTATCTGACCATGATTTAACCTCATTTCAAACTTTTTGGAATATGATTTTTTTCATTTTAAACTCATTAGTAGGGTAAACAAATAGGCATTCTTATAATTTTAACAATTTATTTTCAATACGGAATCACATGTACAAAACAAAAAATGTGGTACTATAAAAAATGCAACATTTACATAATGTATTTTGAAGCTATTAAACTTGATAGTATATATTATAATAATGCCTCATGTATTAATTAATCATGTTTTAGGTAGACAAAATTCATCATAAACATTAACACTGACATTTTTGTGATTAACATTTTATGCATGTTTTTCTTATATCACCAAGGCTTATTCCTGACTGAACCGATCACCCTGAGGTTAGGTTTTCCAATCATCTATCCAACTCACTGATTTTATACTTTTCTTTGTACTTTTTATCTGAATGTTAAATGAAACAATATTGTGATTATTTTGATATTACTATAAATAGCAATGTTCATGTATCTTAATTAGCATTCTTCTTTCGTCCACCTCCACTATGGCGATCTTGGGCATACTTTAAAGTTTAAACATATCATAATCTGAACCTTTACTGTCTCCAACCTGAGATCTCATCACACTACCGGTATCTGAAATTAAGAAATAAATCAAATAATCATTACAATTGCAACAGTAACAGTGACCTTGACCTTGATCACAGACCTTGACCTTGAGCACAGACACCGGGTGGGCGTCAACTTTTGGTTTCCGCTCAATAACTTTAGTTTGCTTTGGCCTATTGACACCAAACTTGGTGTGTAGGTAGCTTATATCAAGAGGCAGCTTGGGATTGCTACCCAGGTGTCTGTGATCAAGGTCAAGGTCACTGTTACTAAAAATAGAAATTCAGTTTCTGCTCAATAACTTTAGTTTGCTTTGGCCTATTGACACCAAACTTGGTGTATGGATAGCTTATATCAAGAGGCAGCTTGGGATTGCTACCCAGACTGTGATCAAGGTCAAGGTCACTGTTACTAAAAATAGAAATTCAGTTCTGCTCA